CCCCGGGTCATTGGGTGATAGGCACTTGTGTTATTAATATTACAATTTTTAATTTCCGCGTGTCTTTGGCAATGCCCCTTCACTGCTGTGCTGTCTGCTCGACGGAACATTCTCCCTAGATCGTATAGCTATATACGATCTAGGGAAAAAGTTCCGATATTGAATCCGCCTGACCCAATGCTGATGACATTTGGAGTCCTGTGGGTACCCAACGCCATCTGACCATCAACAACCGCCTCCATGCAATCACACCCTGACGCTGTGACGTTGCATTGGCTATTTCCGCCGCATGTAACAAAGATGAGACATTGTAGATTTCTTTTATCTCTATGCAAGTAAGCAGCCTCAGATGGATCCTATACTTCTGAGATTACTATTACGATGATTACAATGATTCGATCTAAAAAACTGATTGTCGAGTTGTAAACTATGAATTTCCTGAATAATTAATAACAGATTGACCTCTTTTTTTTTAACCTTTCATTTATCCACGGTGAACAGGGTCTAAATCTGGCTGAAATTTTTTAATAATCATTTATTTTAAAGAGTGGAAAGTAAGTGCCTTAGGTCATCAGATGATAGGCGCTTTTGTTATTTATTAATATATATTCATTTAANTGACATTTGGAGTCCTGTGGGTACCCAACGCCATCTGACCATCAACAACCGCCTCCATGCAATCACACCCTGACGCTGTGACGTTGCATTGGCTATTTCCGCCGCATGTAACAAAGATGAGACATTGTAGATTTCTTTTATCTCTATGCAAGTAAGCAGCCTCAGATGGATCCTATACTTCTGAGATTACTATTACGATGATTACAATGATTCGATCTAAAAAACTGATTGTCGAGTTGTAAACTATGAATTTCCTGAATAATTAATAACAGATTGACCTCTTTTTTTTTAACCTTTCATTTATCCACGGTGAACAGGGTCTAAATCTGGCTGAATGAAATCATGGTTTTGGAAAGAAGTAACGATGATTTAAATAAACGATTTTTTTTTAAGAACGCAAATTTTCGGAGGGAATCGCGTATAATTAATTATTTAAATAAAAAAAAAATGTGGAAATCACTGAAGCAAATAATCGCTCAAGAGATAGTATTACAATGGCAACTTCATTCTACCATACATTGTAAGGCTGACAATGGAATAATTGGATTATTTAGGTATACTAATTTGTGAAAGGTTTTGGTAACTATAAGACTTGATATTATTTTAGATAGCTGGATAAGTATGGTAGCCCTCAAAAAACCCGTCATCAAGTATTCTGATTTCTCTGGCTTGTCAGTAAGTACAATACTTGTTGTATTACATGAAAAATATAATTATGTCATACTTTGCACAATTATTTTAGAAATAGTATCACTATTGTATGAATTATTTAATAGTATTGTTATGGCAGTAATGCTATCTACAAGCCATTGCAAAAATGTTTGATAAGACAGTGGTATACCGCTGTTCACTACCATTATATGAGATCCAAGGTAATAATCTAAGATTTCTTTGAAAGTATTCTTACTGAAGCAGAAATCCAAAATTATTCCTACAGTATTAAAGGTTGCCCTATCGAAGTTATCATTTGGATGGTACATAAAAGAACACATCTTTCAGTCTTGAAATCAATTTTTTTTTAAAGAGATAATTTTTTTTATTTCTTAAAAATAATACCTTAGAATTAGAAAAATTCTCTTATTTTTAAAAAATAGACACGAAACCATTCTAAACGTATGTTTTCTAATGTACTATGCAATTAGTAACACTAACGGGGCAGCTTTAATTACTGTAAAATTAATTTTGAATTTTGTGTTGTAAGAACACTTTGAGTATCTGTAAAATAGTTTCAATGAAAATAGATCTCATTTGATAGTTTCAGACATAAACAACAATAAATTAGCTATTTCAGATAATGTAACACATATTAAACTTGTTTAGTATACTTCTTTAAAATTTCTAATGACATATTTTGTATAATACAGTAATTCGTTGTTAAAAATGTGAAGTTGTATTTTTGGAACAAGTAATTAAAACTTCAACCTGCCTTTTGCCTACATTTTCATCTTTGCAAGCAAAATTGGAGTCTCGTTGAAAGTTGAAGAGATGAATAACTTGGTTTCATTTTTTTTTTAAATTGCATTGTGTCTATTATTCAGTCGTTAGATTCCATAAAGTATTAGAGCCAATGTTGTTGTTGTTGTTGCTCGTTAGATGGCGCTGGGCACTCACAGGGACTCCGATACAGCGTTGGGTGAAGAGGATTTCCGAAGTGAAAATTACGGTCAGTAACATAAAAGTTACTGTCACTAACATACCAATCTATAGTGTTGGAGAAGCGAATAGGCAGAGAAGGAGGGGGCATTCCAGAGGTTCCCACCGGTGCTCCCAAATGTTACTGGCAAACATGTGAGAAATAACACAAGCGCCAATCCCCACACAACCCGGAGCGCTTACTGGTACCTTTATTTATTTAAAATAAATATAATGATAAGACAAGCGCCAATCCCCACACAACCTTGAGCGCTTACTGGTCCATTCATTTATTTAAAATTAATATAATGATAAGACAAGCGCCAATCCCCACACAACCCGGAGCACTTACTGGTCCATTCATTTATTTAAAATAAATTAAATAACACAAGCGCCAATCATTATGCAACCCGGAGCGCTTACTCTTCCCTTTATTTAATTAAAATAAATATAATGACTAGACAAGAATTATTATTTGATGCTTTTTAATGATAAATAATGCGACCAAAAATCGCATGGAAATTGGCGCTTGCCTTATTATTTTATTTACTATAAATTAAGTAAGCAACCAGTAAG